ATCCGGGTAACTTATGCTAGGCCCCGAACCAGAGGTTCCGGAAGACGTTTCTACAACACTAATATGAGATGTTACCAGTGTGGGTACTCGGGACATTTCTATAGAGATTGCCCGGAAATCAACGGAGGCGGCGAGAAAAGGGACAGAGACCGGTAAAATTTCTTTCTTTTCTAATGTATTTTTTTTTTAGTTTTTTTATCTATTAAGGTAAGAAAACGCACGAAGTAATTTACTGACGTTTTCCAAGTTTAAACAGCGATTTAAAAAATGAAACTTTATACTCTTGTAAAGAACTTAAAATTCACCGTTGAAATGTTTCCGGGTCGGTAATATGATAATTTAAATCGATGAGGCATTGTTTCGATTTGAAATATGATGAATATTTTATTTGAAAGAACGATTGTCATAAAATGTGTATTATGCTCGTGCAAACACTATGGAAGTTTCGTATAAGTTAAAAACTTTTCAAGTATTGCAAATCCCGATGGTACATATAACGGTTTTTTTATCTAATCAGGTAGTTTAGGAACAATACGAGCAGTTGACTTTTCAGCTTAACGAGGTTCTCATAATGTAGTAATTTTATCAATTAATGTAACGACAGGAAATACGAATGGACGCACTTACCTGAATATCCGGAAGAACTTGCACGGTTCTCTCTTGGCAAAGTGAGCAAAAATGGGTTGTTCTGCGCCATATTCTTTACGCTGTTTATGATTTTTCACTTATCACTATCACTTATCTGTTATTATTTAATTAGATGTATTAAAAACCGATTATCAAGAAATACTCGATGATTCTGTAATTTTTACTCGATCTTGATTGTTTTTGATTTATACCAAGTCGACTAGCGTTGATAATAACGTACACAAATAAGTACTTAGTATAATGTTTTTAGAAAACTCCAGTGTTATTTAACAAGATATCCATGTATGTGTAAACATACGTTTCGGTGATAAAAGGTCACCAGAAATGTTGTTTACCAGCAAGTACAATACTGTTTTTATTATTTGATAACTGGTTGTTAGGATTCAAACCATTCTGTTTTTATCTTTGAAATTTGTTGTGTCATGTCCTTCACATCCAATTTTATCAATTATTTGCCGTACACGGCGTTTTTTATCTAGTAAAACAATACTCCTGTAATTATACTTTTTGTTTACTGCTACACTTTTGCTTAATATACTGTTTAGTCATTTCCTGCAGGAAGCGGGTACCAAGCATTAAAGTGCTCGTTGTGCCTATTAAAATTGTTTAAATAAAATTAATTACCTAATTAATGCAACTGAAGCACTCAAACTTTAACAATTCTGTTTTCTAAATATTTTATGTTAAAAAAATTCACATAATTCTATAGAAAATTTTTTCTGGTTAGAATTCGATTGTCATATCTCATCAGGTGGATTATTATTGCATAGTACACCTAAACTAGGTCAATATCAGAGGTAATTAACACTGGAATTTACAAATTACTCACTTTTAAAAAATAATTAACAGTTTTTATTAAATCTACGACATTTTCCATAATTCAAACTTATTTTACCTGATAAATTGATAACAATATTGGTAGAGGACTTTGAGGCGATAAAACTGATTGTAACTTTTTTTAATCTAAAAATTGGTAACTTTAAATTTTAATAATAAATTGTAACACGCAAAAAGTGCTGCAATGTATGAAATTGCAAAATTTTGGAGCTGATTTTTGTTACGAATCCGTAAACATAAAACAGGTTCCTAAGTATTGCGTATACCGACACCAGAACAGGCGTGGCACTTTACGATAAAAGAATAACGGAAACGATGAACGAAAGTGCTGAAATTCATTGCGTAAATCGCGATCTGTTTCAACTTGGTAAACGGGATAGAAAAAAAGTTAATTTGCCACGACGAGTTTATAGATGTGTTGATAATACGAAGTGCTTCATAAGTTTATTTTCCGTTTATTACCTAATTGTTGTTTTGTGATTTGTCAGGCACATGGTTGTTTATTTATATGGTTTGGTTAAACAGTATTATATGGATTTGTATGATGGTGGTTGACCCCATATGAATCGTTGACTTGGCGTGGACATTAATAGCTTATAGCGGAAAAAAATTGTTGGTTGAATTATGGGTTGATTGTTGGGTACATATTTTTAGTTACGGTCGGTCTAGAGGCCACAGGGATAGAGACAGAGAGTACTACCGCGAAAGGGAGCACGGCGGGAGGAGGTCGTACAGGTCCAACCGCAACAACCGCTACGAAGAGTACCGCCCCAGGCGTAGCGGCAGCGACAGGAGGAGGCACCGTTACTGATCCGTTGGGATCGGGATGTAACGGAAATCTGTACAGGCAATTTTTCCCATGTGTATTACTTAGTTTTTTAGGTGCCTGATGAATATTTTTATTGGTAGTAGTGACAGCATAATGTTCTTAATTTTATCCGATTGCAGCTGTTTGTATATTTCTCAAAATTTTTTGTATTTGTAATAATGGTACAAAACTGCATGCGTACGATACCACCGCACACAATTTTAGGTGGGGCGTCTTTAATATATACAGCGTGAACCAAGAATGATTTTTTACATCTAGCAGCCTTCTAGATATATTTGAACTGGCTATGATTTTTGTTTGTGAGCAGTTTTTCAGAAAATTGGCAATGTAGCTTTAACGAGCACTCAGTATCTCATATTTCATCAATTTATTGTGCTGACTAATCGTTTCAATTTCAATTCATACTTAAAGTTCTCAATTTATTTAGGGTCTGTTTCGGATTAAAGATCTAGGAGGCGTTGGAAATGCCTGAATGTGATGACAGTAATATGTTAAAGGGTATTTGCCAGTAACCGTCGCATGTCGATTATAAAGTAACTCTTAAAATTTCATTATTTACCAGGTTCCACAGGGAGTGAAAGCGATTGGTTAATTTTATTAGGAATAGGATAGGCATTCCCTATACCCCCTAGATTTTTAAATTAATTAAGACAATTCATCGTAACTCATTTTTTTGCAAACAATGTCATTTCCATCCTCCAGAATTTCTTATTTTTTTTATTTTTATTGCACGGGTAACGTTTGTAAGTTAAACGTTCGACTCCACTTCAATTTGTGTGTCGTGTATTTAGATTAAGAACATGCGAAATTTAAGGGTTTTTTTTTTATTTACTACTATACCTTGATCTGAAAGTACAAATAAAATGTTACATACAATTCTTTAGTGCTGTACAAGATGTAAGGGTTTAAAAGGGGGTGTGTTCATTATTTTCTCTAATCTAAACGTCTGAATTTGCCAGTAAATAAACTAAGTTTGTAGGATTTTTCTTGTTTACGGCAAAAAAACTGCCCTAAAGCGAAAAAAAAGTAATGCTCAACGACGTGTGGCATACAATTTTTTTAATTAAGGATATTATGTAAAACGGTGTAGTTCGATTGGAACAAAAGTCTCCAGTCTTGTTACACGGTTATATTACCGCAGAAAAGTTTGTATTAGTTAGTCGATTCAACTCGCCGTATTTAGATAGAGAATTTGCCGTTCCTTTTGTATGACTAGGTATGTTTACCTAATGTTTAATATTTTTACTGTGTGTCACTTTGGTGTCGTTTTTCAGAATCAAGACCAAATAAATTTTTAGATTTAAAGGTGTTACGAGGTGTTTTTTTTATTTCCCGAACGTCCCCCGAAATAAATTTGATTAAAATGTCGATACAAATAAACTGGAAATTAATGAACTCAAAACAAATTTACAAGTTACTAAAATGTCAAGAAAAAAAAAATTATTGCATTATATTTTGAATTACCTTATTTTGCCCGAAAATATAAAATCGTCAATATGAAATTTCATATTCCTCAATTTGGACCATTTCCTCCCTAGAACTAGGGAAAAGTTCCTAAATCTGGCATCACTGTATTGGGTTATAAATAAAGTTAGTGTTAGTCAATCAACAAATATACCGAAAATTTGCTTCGTATATCCTTTTATAAAATACCAAATTATTTATAAAAAGGTAGGTAAAAGTTTTTGTGTGTCCAAGCATATGCAAAAATGAGGTTATGTAAACATGATCTCGCTAAAAATGAGGTTAGGTAAACATTTCAATATAAAGATTCGGTTATATCCTTTATTTTAAAAATTAGGTAATCCTTGAATTTTCAAATTAAAAAAAAAAATTTCTGCACGTGCAGAAGTGAGGTTATGAAAATTATGTGATTCATACAAATTTCAATATAATGAAGTATTTCAAAATTTCTTCAAATGTTCTTAAATACTGAAGTATTTACAAGTTACTGAAATGTCTCAAAAAACGGATTAATGCATTGATTTATTAAATTTTGAATTTCCTTATTTTGCCCGAAAATACAAAATCCATACATATAAAATTTCCTATTCCCCAAATCTGGACCATTTCCTCCCTAGAACTAGGGAAAAGTCCCTAAATCTGGCATCACTGTATTGGGTTTTAAATGAGGTTAGGTTAATAGATCAACAAATATATTGAAAGTTTGCTTCATATATACTTTTATAAAATACAAAAATATTTATAAAGAGGCAAGTAGGAGTTTGCGTGTATATGCAAAAACATATGCAAAAGTGAGGTTTTGTAGACAGACCTCACTAAAATGAGGTTAGGGAAACATTTCAATAAAGATTCGGTTATATCCTTTATTTTAAGAATTAGGTAATAATATAATAATGCTTGAATTTTGAAATTAAAAAAAAAACGATAATTTTCTGCATGTGCAGGAGTGAGGTTATGAAAATTATGTGATTAATACAAATTTCAATATATTTAATTAATAAAGTATTTCGAAATTTCTTCAAATATTCTTTCAAATACTGAAGTATTTACAAAAGAATTGAAATCAAAATACCAATTTCATTGTTGAATTAAGGTAAATAAGGAAAGGAATCAAACACGTAATTCAAGTTTTTCCGTATTTTATTACATATAAAACTTTATCTGTACAAATATAACAAAATATATCCTAACTCTAAAAAATAAGAAATAAATAGTCGAGGAAAACAATAATACTTTTTAATAGGGAAAATATATATACATATTAGTATAACTAAGATTTTCTTATTGGCAAGAAAATTGTACATTTAGAAGGAGAGGTGCTGGTTTGTTAGGGGAACACTATCGTCTAGTAGGCGATGGACCTTCTTCTAATTTTCTCCATACCACCTGGAACGACAAAAATTTTAACTGGAAGAATTTTTCATACATTAAAAGATGGCTATGACGTCAATATTGACAAAATCGAGTAAGTATACCAATATGACGACTAAGATTTACACCACAATTTAGTTTGAAAAGACTAGACTAGACTGCCCAAAAATTGAACTCACGACAGTCCTCAATTTATCTATAATTTTTATGAAAAAAATGCTGAAATTTACTATAACTATAAAATTTTGCAATAAATTAAAACAAAGTAAAAGTAAACCATAAAAGAAATAATTTCGATGAATACCGTTTACCAATAGTCGCAATTGTCGGTGTTTATCATAAAAGTAAAAAAACTGACGCTTGCCTACAAATTTTGACGTTTGTATAACGATCGACGCCCTCAGATCGCATTTATCATATCATAATATCAGAAAGAAAGAAAAAGATCCAATATCATCTACATCTTTCTCATATCGGTAAGTCGCTGACTGCGCCACTTTTTTTTAGAATCAAACGAAAGAGTGCTTTGAGGTTTTGAAATATTATATCGGTAAGTCGTTGATTGTTTTTTTTTTTGAGGTCTGTATAAAGCCCATGAGTTCAACAAAATTCCTTTTTTGGAGTGCCCTTAGATCTGGCGGCTTCGAATGTGCTGCCCTCTGGCCTAACTTTCCCTAAAATTGCAATGTCAGCATCTACTAATATGATTATTAGATTTTAAATTCTTTGAATTCGATCTACAACTGCAATGGCCATTATTTCAAAAATGATATCTAATTAAAATACTTTTTATACTACTTAGCCATGTATTTATTTATTTGAATTTTGACCTAATCATAATTATTCTGAAGGCTGATTGGTGAATTAGTCACCTGACAATCAATACTTGTTTGTTAAAAGTTATTTAATTTTTTTTCATGCATGTTATAAGAACACTTGAAGTACATATTAAAAGGATTTACATTTTATACAATAAAAATGATTCGTTTGAGTATTCCGCTGTTTTCAAGACAATAATTTCCGACACTGGGAAGAAGAGACTATTGTGCTATTGTTGTTAAAAACTTACATTACACATCTCGCGAACGAGCGCCTTCTCTCCATCATCCATGTCCTGGGAGGTCGTGTCCGACATGTTCTCTCCTCGTTCGGGCATGCGGCCCTCTCTCTCCAACTGTTCTCGAACTTCGAGAACCTGGAGGGCCCGCACGACGGCTTCCGGACGGCCGCTCAGCGCGCCCACCACGCCGTTGTCCTGGGGGACTGCGATGGACGGGTCGCCCGTACTGGAGGCGATCTGATTGATTTTGTGGGTGAGCGAGCGCTTGTCGTCTTCCAGCTGCTTGACGCGCTGCTCCAGGTTCCGCACGTACTGCATTATTTGGTCTGTAAAAACAAGTTGGCAAATATTTTTGTTTGTTATAGCATCGTTTTTATAGTAAATATAATTTTAACGTAAGAGAGGCAGCCAACCTTAGATTGATGGACCGAAAATAGTATTTTCGAGTCATTTGAATTTATGGGTTATTTTCTACAAGAAAAGTCTGAAAAGCCGTTGCTGTTTTCACACCCATACTTTAAACAGTTCCCTTTCAAATTGATTTAGACCAGAATCAGATAAAACGAATTAGGAACCTGTGTTATGGTAATGGGGTAGAGGTGACCGGCCATAAGTTCAACGGTCCCAAAGCTATGCTATTTATAAAATACGAACAGTTATTTTTTATCAGAAATTCTACTTTGATGTGATACAGAGCTTAATGGGGCAATGATGTTTTATAAAGTACTACTGACTTAATTATGCTGGAAGATTAGCAAATCCGCTAAGTTATTCGTAAGATGAATTTGGATTCGACATTTTATTTTCAACGCGCTGTTTTGCAAAACCAACAGAACAGTGAAACAAGATGGAACGTCAAAATTATAATTCGAACCATGACACTACTTATTATTGCAACTTCATAAAAATTGCACACATATTTAACATTTCTGTAAAAATAAGATACTTACAACTTTCCCATAAATTATCTACATATTAACACACTTCTCTAACATAACGTCAAATTCCAAAATAGGTATTTAGAGAAAATAACAAATGGTTAAGACTGGAAAGTCTGTTTTTGCAATATACCTAGACTTTCTCTTTCTTTTTTTGCGAGATGAGTTATCTTCAACAACATCTGCAGTATATCTCTTCAATTTGAAACTTAATAAATATTTTTTTTACTCGCAGAATGGAATGTTTTTAATTTGTAATACAATCCTCCAGTTTTTATATTTTAGTATTCTGAAATTTGAAAAAAAAAATTATTATTAGACAGTTCAGTTGGCAAATTTAAGTGTTTTTTTCACTTTTTTTTTTACTGTACACGAAAATCTAGACGACCTGTCGGAAAATTAGTCATTTTACGTTGTAGGCAATTAAATTACCTACAATTTAAGGTATCTACAGTCAAATTTCACCAATTTGTTAACTGTAAAATAAAGGTTGAACGTGGAAAAATCAGTTTTTCGAAAATTGCGCATTATTATTGCAAAAATCGATGGATGTTGATGAAATTTATGGAAGAGACGGTCAATCCAAAGATCAACATGTGTGCCAAAAACCGATTCGATTGACTGTGAAATTGTTGCTCCAGGTATTTGTTAATTAATTTCATTCGTTTTTTTGCAACTAGTTATTTAATTACTAAACGTTAACTTTAGACGTTAACATCGTAGATATTGATTCTAATTGATTCAAAGAAACGTATCGAAAAAGAAAAATTTCAAAAAGTTGAAATTAAGTAGCCCTTAGCCCTTTTACCACACAGAGTCAGGCAAAAGCCGCTCGGGAATTCGCTCTTTTCGCATTAAATAGAGCTTCCTTACAGCAATTTTAAAAAACGAGAAATCATCTACGCCTCTTTGTTCTCAATATAGCTTTATTTTTATAACGTTAATTGTTAATCAACTATTGGACGTATCAGACCGAGATTTTAGAGACAATTAAAGAAAGGGTTAAACTTTTATTTTCAGAAAGTTTTATCATGTAACAAACGCGCTAGTAGCAGTAAAAGTTGACGTTAATGAACATCATACACGCGGGAGAAGGAGCAACAGGCCCGCGCATGCGCGTGAACGTCGCTCTCGTCGCGCGCGATGTTTCTGACTTGAACGTTTCAAATTCGGTTAGGTCGTCTATATTTTCGTGAACAGTAAAAAAATTGGAAAAACACGTCTACTAATAATTTTTTTAAGTTTTCAAATTTTATGTGCTAATTCGACTGAATTATATCTTGTGTTAACGATTCTTAAAAAGCTAATAAAATTTGATTACTGCGCGCCGGAATTGGCTCTTTGTTTGACGGACGTACCATTTAATATTCCCATAACACGAGTACATACATTTATTATACCAGCACTATACCATTTAAATTCCCACCGAACAATGGACGGGGAGTGGCCAACGAGAGTGAGGAACTGAATAAAAACAACATTAATTCGCATTGTCTCTACATATCCACTTCGAATCATCGTAATCAAGATAATAAGCAGCTATTAAAACAATACCTAATCACACTTTGCATATTTTAATATGTTAAACCGACCGAAGACCGTTCCTAGGTGTTGCAGGATACATGCAAAAGGTAATCGTAAGAGATTTCTAAATAATTACTATTTCCCATCACATATTCTCACCATTAACATTTCATTTCGAATGGTTATTCTCACGTGAAAGTGTTTCCATCAGCAGTCAGTCACTTTCATCTTTAACCTTATCGTGGATTTTAAACAATAATTTTCTTCTGCCGGCGAATAACAGTTTTCTAACGACGTACCATTGCGCAAAAAAACAAGTTCAAGATATTTATAGTTCATTTACTCTTCGAGTGCATATTTACGCTTCAGTGGACGACGATTTCAATATCACGAACGACATGGAGGAATGGAAGGCCGGGATTTGATTGAGGAAATACTTTAGACCGTAGAATCGAATTATTGGAATCTTTCGTGGTTGGAATTACGTGGATATAAAGCTAGAACATGCCTTTAAAAGTAGAAAAATATAGTTCTGCTACGTTCGTTTTTTATTTCGTTGTATTTGTTGCGAGGCTGAATTCGCTTACAGGAATTTATTTTCAATGGGCATACTAGATTTATTTTATTTTATTATTTATAAGTCGAAAATCTATTTAGTAAGTATCCACAAGCTGTTAACATTACAAATAAGTGAATGCCCTATAAAAATGTAGACGACTTAATACATTATTGCACTTAAAAAAGGACAATTTCATTTCCGGTGTTACTTAACCTAAGAACTGTAAATAATTATTATAACAGTGACTACCGTTAAAACTGGTGTTTGTTTGAAATGTGCAATGTAAATTCACAGTTCTAGTTTGATGAAAAATAGTTGTATTGACACGTTCACAAATTCTTACACGTAATTATGTGCATGTGTTTTACTATACATGCTCGACAAAATGAATTTAACTGTTCATCTACGTATTAATATAATTATTATAGTTAACGCTATTATAACGTTATGGTTCATACAAAACCAATCTAACGCACATATCAAATTTCACGTAAATAAAAAGACACATGTTTCGAGAAAGTGAAGGTAGAATACAATGTGTTAGTAACTTTAATTGATAGAGGCTATTAAATAAAGCTAAATTCTTTGGCTAGCGAGTGCTGAACGTAGCGTCGATTGAAAATTAATGTTCAAAAATCCATTTCGTAAAAATATATCAGTTGTTAGTGGTTCGTTATTGGTATTCACATTTCACTGAATTAATTAAGAAAAGGACATATTGTTTGCGCCAACTGAATACACAAACGCAAAAAGTGAAAATCCTTGGATTAAAAAATGTTTGAATTCATGCGTACTTTCACAAAGTGACAATCTATGACCCAGAATTATGTGAAACCAATGTAAAAACTATAAAAAGTAATCAATGTGAATAAATTTTGTAAACGATGTGTCATTAATTCAAATGAAAACATTTCCAATAGTTCGAACAACTATGTTGGTAGTGTTTACGTGTGAGTTATCGCTATGTTAACAACTAAGCAACTATTTAAAAAATGGTAGCTAATTATTTTTTAATTAACACTCGGAAGAATAATTTAAAACTGTTTACTTTGTTGTTTTTCACAGCTGAATCGGTGCAAAATGCGCTACAAACATAATTTCTTAAATACTGCTTTGAACGAGTAGAATTCTTAACAATTCTGACCTTTTTTAATAGCGGGTTAATATTAAAAATGCCTAATGCTTAATATTCTTGTCGCTGATGACGAGATATTGTCCACACACAAGCACCCATACACATTTTAAATGATTTTAGTAATATGTAGAGAAGAATTTATTAAAAAATTAATGAGCGCAATGGACATTTACAAACAAAATTTAAATAGAAGTTATAGCATTTACTTACGACTTAGGTACGACATTCCTACATTATTAGTCAGGTTGCAACTTTGCAGTTAAAATTATTTAGATATTGAGACGATGTAAATACAGCCATATCGTAGTAAAATATTTTTTCGTGTTCTGAGTGACCTTAGCATTAACGTATCTTTAGGATATTTAATGAACTAATTTCAATTTTAATCATGTCTAATATATTATTCGTACCTTTATTATACGATACATCCAAGGCTAGAGGATGTCGCAAGTCAACTATTAAATATTTGCGTAAATTTTTCTAAATATCTGTCTAATTTTCTAGTAGTGCTAATTATAAAATCGAAAAGGAGGATTTGGAAAGGTCAATCCTATTACAAATATTCTAAAACGCAGTACAAGAACGCTCGTGAGATGTTTTCATTAATTTTGTTGATGATAAGAAATCAACTCATATTTCTTTATTATTTTTTTCTCTTCTGTCAAGATATATGTCCACTACATTGGCTGAGACCTTTAGAAACGAACAGAACCTGTTTAAACCTTTGGAATGAGCTTATATCTCATGTCCCATATAAATCCATATTGTGTCAGTAGGTATCCACAAAGCACGTTTTGTGGTAGATTTCCAATTATTGTTGAAGATTGATCATTTATATGAAAGGCGAGTTAGTAATTGTTTAAGACAAACAAATTTTATTACCACCGGTAATAAGGCTACTCTCTAGTCATAAATATTTGTTTGCATTTCCTCATTGCGTGAGACAGCCGTGGCATACTTTCAGCGACATTTAAAAAAAAGATGGAGAAAAAACTAATAATATTAATTTTAATTGCAACATAGGAAAAGACAAAAAAGCACATGCAGATATCAATACTGAATGCTGCAATTGATGCACTACAACACTTTTGCACGTACTAGTACGAGTTAATAGCGGAGTTCCACAAGGGTCTGTTTTAGGTCCCTTTGTTTTCAGGATTTATACCCCTCTGTTTGAGAGTATAAATCTTTTTGTTTGACGGAGAATTTGCTAGGGGAGCAAGAGTAATTAAAAATAATTAAATTTTCTGACTTGTATATAAATTATTGTCACACAGTCTACCACCTATTTTGAAAAAAAAAAATTCTTTTGAATTATTCAAAAGCGGAGTAATATTTACGTGTGTAGGCTCCAACAGATTTCTCCTAAAATTGAAGAAATTGTTGGTTGAAAATTTCACGTCAAATTCTCCACAGCTGTTGTTTGTCTCACAAAATTTTAATTTTTAAAATGCCAGACTATCTTTATGAAAAAATCCGATACAGAATTGTGAGGTCAACTGATAAAATACATTATTCGGTTTGTTTCAGTGCTACTTCATGGAACAAATAAAAAAATTAATAATATTTACGTTAATTGTTTATCATATTGTCATCTTTTATGTAATGGGTACAAATTTGCCTTTATTTTAGTTGAGTATATACATTTTTAATACCAAAATACCTGTTAGATTTAATTACAAAAAATGTTTTGTAAAAGTAAAACCTGATCAATTGCTGTGCCTCTTTGTAATATTTTATTTTATTTTCATAAATTTAATTTAATGATTGTCCCTTTGATAATATTACAGAGGTACTTACCATTAAAGGTACTCCTTTGTCGGGCCAAATTTTCATGCAGCAGCCTCTCCCTACTGGCCGACCTCCTCGGCGCGCCGTTTCCGGAGTTAAACTCCTGGGGGACAGCTGGTTCGTCAGCGTTTGTACTTGAACTGGAACCATCCCCATCGTCTCTTAAATTCCCAGCCGGTGCACTACCACAAGTTGGACACAAAGAGTTTCCACCGCGCTCTTCATCCAAATACAAACACAACTCCTTCAACTCCAAGTTGTCCTTTATAAGCTCCTGCTGCTTGTTGTCCAACTCCCTAAGTTTGGTTTGGTACGCCGAGACTTCCTGCCGCATGACGCTGGCGGTGTACCTGCCGAAACGTTGCCATTCCCTGGCTAGTTTCCTACCCTTCTGCCTGTCGTCGTCAAGGAAGCAGCATAAGTCCCTCAGCTCCTGGTTGTCGTCTGCGAGGTGTTGATTGGCTTCTTTTAGAGAGCGTAGTTCTAAAAGTATGTTTTGTATCTGCCTGTTTTGGTCTATGATCCTTGGGTCTTCGGGTTTTCGCACGAATTTCAGCATTTCCGGTCGGAGGAATTCTTCTTCGTACCTTATTGGTTGTCTGTGTTGCGGTATCCTTAAATCTGGATGGATCTGAGGAATCCCTGGCTCATCTAAAGGCCTAGGTCGAGAGTTATCCTGGTGTACTTGTACCTGGGTGGTCCTGCCGTCTTCCAAAGTTCTTTGTTGTGGAGGGTACTGGGGGTAATGGTACGGCTTACCTTGTGGATTGGGGTAGTACTTCGCTTGGTCCGCGGGGTAGATCACCTTGACGTTTTCCGGGATCTTCGAGGGATACTTGGCATCTTTCGGTGGGTGCTTCAATATGCCCTGCCCGTTGGGTATGGGGGGCGGTTGGTACCTGGGGGGTACCGTACCCTGTTCCACAGCTGCCTTGCCAGCGAATGACTTTTTATTTGACATTTTTAGCCCAGCTAGTGACTCCTAGGACCTCATGTCGTCGCAATGACCTCTCGCCACCGACTAACAATAAGTTAAATCTTGAACACACTCTCGATGGGTTTTAATAATATGTGGGTCATGTAAGTGGCCCACAGCGATCACATACTGAATTTCACCGTGTACTAATGAGATGCAGACAATGCTGGGCTAGTTGGGCACACGCGGGTGTATTTTCGAGTACGGATGCGACCGTTTGTGCGCGAAACCTGCGAAAAACACAGAAACGATACTGAAATCCGCCGCCGTAGCGTGAGTTGAGTAACTAACATGGCTGAAACAGCACTGCTTTGGCTTTAGAACGTCATCAGCAGGTAAGCTCTGGTGGTGGTGGAAGGTCGGTACGCATAAGCGGTGCTGTTGAATGCCTGGGGTTCGTGTGTATACTACTAGCCGTACGCTGTATACAGTGCGTCATCTTTCAAAAATGCAAATTGTTGGGTACGACCCATTCTTTAATCTAGCTGCCCGTTGCGGATGCTGTGACAATTATGAATTATGGCTAGGCTTACTTTACGCAAAGGTAGAACCGCGAGAACTACCTGTTCAAATGTTTCTATTAAAAGAATTATGTGTGGGTTTATACTGTTTTCCTTAAAATACATATACAGCTAAAATTTGATTTAAAAAAATTATCTTAGGTGCTTTGTATCTCAAAATCAAAATGCGATAGGCTCATGGTCCATAGAAAAAACCTTATTTTTTGCATTCATGAAAATTATTCATAAAATTCATAAAATCCATAAAATTATCGATAATTTTCATTACGCTAGTGCTATTACTCCTGAACATATTTGACCTATACTGACGAAGAGCGAACTAATAACTGAATTAATATTAAAACAAACATTTACTTGAATTATATACAAATCTCTACTATTGGTGGAAGAACACAGCTGCATAAACCGAAAATCAATTTAAAATTAACATGTTAAAAAAAGACGGGCATGTTTGTAAATCGTGGCTTTAATTTGTTTCATAGGCTTTGGTTACAATTTTCCACACCTTTGCTTATACTCGTATGTACCAACGCACCTTTCCAATATAAATGTTTACAGTATCAAAAATGTTGTTGGCCTCGATACAGCGTGTTGCAGTCGACGTGTATTCATTCACTATCGCACAATAAACCGTGGAAGACTTAAAATTTATATTTGCAGTGTTACGATGACGATTTGTCACAAATCAGAAGATATTGTTTCCAATTTTTGAGACACAATGTTTTCTCCAACGAAGGCCTAGATTAAATGAGTATTTAAATCGCAATTTAGGTCACCTTGCTTGAATTTTTGATATAAATTAGTTCGAGGTACGTAAAAACAATAAGCGACAATAATTTTTTTTTCAAACCCCGGGGGTGAAAAAAATTAAAATATATTTATTTTTTCAGGATAATATATCTAGCTACCGTCATATGACAATTTTGCTGGAAAATGGTATTTAAAATGTAATGTAAAATTTGACAGTTTTTCCACTAGAAGAAGAGGCACAGCTTTAGTTATTACTGTTATTAGTTTGTTTGATATTCTTTGATAAATACATTTTTTTGACATTAAAAATTATTATAAGAAAAAGGAAGTCTATAGACAAATTGAATTGTGCGAAAACTATCGCGCCTACAGCGTCCATTTTTGGCACACTTTTAATGTATGACAAAACCCTCAACTTGTCATAGGTTTTATATAATAACAATAAATGCGATAGTTATAAACAAATTAAAAAATGGGCTTTTCTTGTTTTTTTTTGCATTAACTTTTTTGTTTATTAACCGATGTTAATTTAACAAGTCTCATTTTGTAGATAATTTTACTCCCTACAAGCTGTCTCAGAATCACTTTTCGCTAAAATTGAAGGTTTTCCCTGCAAAGTGAAAAAACTGTTTTCCTCACTTATTTTGTTTAAATAGAAAAGTTAGCTAATAAAAGTTTTTAACTCACGAGATGAGAGATGTCTTGTATTATGTTCCTTTAGACAATTTTACAATAATATCGCGGATATGAATTTTTTCGTGTTTCTCTTTTTTTGTCGCTAATTTTCCTGGTCTATAGCGAAACGCGAAATTGGTGAGTCTACAATTGATTCATCAGAAGATTCAACCCACCCGGGATCTATATTCAATACCCCGGTGGTCTCGAATCTATGTCTCCTCTCCCTAGAAAGCAATTGGGGCCTTGCGACTCGAGGAATACAGCGATAACGTAAATTACCGATTATTCTAGAGATGCTCGTCCCTGGGTCAACTCACCAATCAACGGATATCCACGAATTTAGTCACTAAGTTGACCGCGGCAATAGACATAACTGCGATTAGTCACTTATAATCACTATGACACTCTTTCATCACTAAACCATTGTAGATCATTGGGCTGCATTTACGGAACACTGACAACGAAATAAAAATATTATATTAGACTTTTAAAAACACAAGTATTTTCTTTAGCATCTTGTAGTAGTATACTCTCACAAAAAAATTGCAACATAATCTTTGTTTGGAATGTTCTTTTAAAATCAACACAGAAAATAGAGTCTATCTATTACGAATTACTTTTAACCGTACCTGTATAAGTTGATTATTAAAGACAGTTATAGTCGGTCAACTGTCAGAAGAAATGAAGATTTATGTTAAAAAAACGCCGCTAGTAGATTTTTATCTGGTTTTTGGTAGATACACAAAAATTGTTCTTAAAAATATGACTTCAGAACGTTAAAGGTTATCTACCAAGGGCATAAAATAGAATAATTTTTCCTAAAAAAAACAATGTTATGTTTACATTTTTAATAAATTGATATTAAAATTTAAACAAACCTTTAAGTTGGTTGCCTATCTATAGATTCTGACCTGAATATATATATTTTCATATTTGAATGTTTCAATAACGCAACAATTTTTTAATGCTAAAAAACAATTGCCGTCTGTGCATAGGATTCCAAACAATAGGTAGGTACATCTTAAAAAATCAAAAATTAAGCTACAGACAATTAATTGCTGCGCTGTCTAGCTTCAATACATATACATTGTTGCCAGATTTCTTAGTCTAGGTACGACGTACATTTATTCTTGATTGAGTCGGGCGTATGTGTATTACAGACAAAACTGTTACTCTATACAGAAATATATGACCTTTATAATACAAAATATAAACTTTATTTTTAACGCAACATATATTCAACAGTTTTTAGTACAGGCGGAACATATTTTTACTTATAGCTTTTTCAATTAAATCAAAATATCACAATTACACACACATAGGTAACGTTTTCATTTCAGTTTGTATGCAATTACCTCAGTTTCCTTTATTTAGGATTTAAACTTATATCTATACAGGGTGATTTCACTTTAAATACAGAACTAGATTTATTACCAAAAAATAAGTATAGTTTGCTCTATAAACTTTTTTCCTTCGAGACTCTGTATTCGAGATATAAGGCCCAAATTCATAGATCCCACTAAAGTTCCAATCACACTTATTTCATACTCAACTCAACCTAATCGAATTCATAGTAAATTTCATTTAAATCGTTCATCGCAATATGAAGATATGACAGAAAATATAATTTTTTTTCGGAAACTTGAGCACCCTGACCCTGTATCTCGCATATCACATCCTCCAGGAAAAAGAGCAAACTCTATTTATTTTTTGGCGACTAATGTATTCCTGCAGTTTCTGTATTTTATCACCCTTTATTCCCTAGACTATCCTATTCTCAGGAAATATGACACGGTTGCCAGCACCCAGCTTGCTGTTCGAATGTTTACAATCGCCGCTGGTACAAAGCACGCGCCTGCGCACTCTGGCCATCATTCCCTTTCGCAAGGTGACCTCTAATACTCTAATCAGTAAAAATAGTGAGTTGGTGCCGGTGCTTCTCGTTGTTCCTCTGGCAGTTGGATTTAAAGTTTCATCGTTTACAGCTGTTAATACATCGCTATGGCCAAGCCACAGTCAGATTCGGAGAGAAGGAAGCAGATCAGCGTTAGGGGTATAGCGGAATTGGACGACGTCAACGAGATAAAGAAGACTTTCAACAGACACCTCCACTACACCCTCGTCAAAGACAGGAATGTGGCCACCACCAGGGATTATTACTTCGCACTGGCACATACCGTCAAGGACCACCTCGTATCGAGGTGGATAAGGACCCAGCAATATTACTACGAGAAGGACCCGAAGGTAAATTTGCACGAATCATTCGTACTTTTCTTAAATTTACATTTACACCGCACAAATCGGTGCGGTTTCAACACCTATAAATATCTTCTTTAAAAGGAAATTGGGTTTAAGTCACGTTACGTTGTTTTAAAATAGTTTAATTAGTTTTACAATCGGCCTGAATACGCGGTGGCTCAAAAAACAATTGCACGACGGGTTCGATTTTGATGTGACAATTTGCCGGTAGAGTACGTTATATTTGTCGTTCTGTGTCATTTACGCTTATAGGATAATGAACTTAGTTCTAAAAATATCCCCATTGAGATGGGATTTTCTAGATCATTTACTTTTAACTTTGAAACATAATTACGGTTATTTTCCTTCACGAGTATCAAGTAATTAAAAAAAAAACATAAATAAGGCATTTTTTGTCGAAAACAATGAGAAATGAATGAAGTCAAAACAAATCTCACACATGACTCGAATCCAGATGTTCTTTTATGAAATAGAAAAACTATAGTCCAACTGTTTTAGATTTTTGCGCTTATGAGTAATCATTAATTTCGTTCCCTTGGATATTGCCAACTTTTGTACTTTAAAATAGTAATTCCGTAGTAGCTAATAATATCATAGCAGATTATGACCTACAATGTCACATCGTGAGTAATAAATCGTATCCGTGGGGTATCTTAATATCCGTTATATCTACCTGTTTATCAGTTTTTAAATAATCCATGGTCCGTTTTTGATAAACTTTCCATTAATTTTTCATACACAATTACAGGTGCATTTCAAGCAGTTTGCTTTAAAAACTAACGTCTTTTTACTATTTTATCTTATTTTTTTCTCACATATTATTCACGTCATATGAAAATTCCCATTTTTTTAAACAACTTTTATGAAAACATAAAATGATATGTTTAGAGAAAGACACCTGGGTTCGATCAAGTCTGTTTCTGATTTTGTCAGCCTTGTGGAAAACAAAATTCTTTCAATGTTTACATTCATTACCGACATAAATCATTTATTTATCTAAAACCGTACTGATAATTATCGTAATCGTGCCTTCTTTTCCACTATATATTATTATTATTTTTTTAATAAATGTTTATTTTCGATTTAATTACGTATAATGACTTACTTTTATATTTTCGATCACTGGCGTATTTTATAAAGGAGTGAACAGTCAACCCCATTGCAACATTTTATTAAAAAATTTTTATATGAAGAAAATTATTTATTTAAAAATATTTATTGGGAAGACTGATTTATTGCGCAACTTTTTTACCTCTTGTAATTTTTCGATAAAACCGATAGTTTTCTAGTAAAAAAAAATTAGATGCGTCATCGTTCGCTAAAGGGGTAATTGCGAAAATTTGTAACAATAAAGTAGGCGGATGTCATAACAAATAAATTGTTATTTATCATATTAATAAATTGACACTCTGTCAACCAACAGTTAGTACCAATTGATTAATGACGAATATGTCGACATGCTCCAAGTGTCTTTCAAGTGTCAATTTATTAATATGATAAATAAAAATTTATTTCTTAAGACATCCGCCTACTTTATTTTTACAAATTTTCGCAATTACTTAATTATTAATCGGTTTTATCGAAAAATTATAAGAGGTAAAAAAGTTGCGCAATAAATCAGTCTTCGTAATAAATATTTTTAAATAAATAATTTGCTTCATATAAAAAATTTCTAATAAAATATTGCAATGGGGTTGACTGTTTCACTCCTTTATAAAATACGCCAATGATCGAAAAAATATTTAAAAGTTGTCTCTTTATTAGTAGGATGGTCGTACCATGTTAAAGAAAAAATGTGAATTTCAATCCCGTTCTTTAAGAGGGTATATCACCTCAGGGGTGCAACTTTCATATAAGGTATTTTTACCTCAATCCTCTTATTTTTGACTCTACATTCACTGGTACCATTTTTGCTACTTCATTTAAAAACACCCTGTATATTACTTTTCAAGCTTCAGATTGATCCATTGAAAGTTGTAAAGGTCGCGACACGGATAAAATAGTCATGTACTGTGCCATGCTGACATACATCGACCTGAGTCTCTTACACGTATTTCTAAATGTTGCAATTGTTGGCATTGTAGGTATGCAAAAAAGCTTGACTTTCCACGTAGAAATTTCAACTTAAATACAACTAGCAATTTTTCTTTAAAACGAGGCGTCATTTGCCAAAGTAATTAAACCGCAAATAATAAAACAGGTCTGCTATTATTTTCTCTGTAGCCATTTATTCAAATTTATACGTATTGGAGCTTGGCTTGGCAGAGTTGCGTTTTTAAAAATACATATTAATCTAAATCTAATCTAATTAATTAAAATAAGAAATACCATTATATTAAATTTATCGATGTTTACTTTTTACCAGTTAATTTTATAACCTCAAAATGTTATACGTTATAATCTTGAGTATTCATTATCAAATACAAGCTTTACTTCAGGAAAATATTTATTATTACATTAGTAATTCTTAAAACAATCGAAATCATTTTCGAGCCATGTGTATCTTAAGACCTTGATAACGCAGACACGCACAAACAATAAATAGATTTGGTAGCAATCTTCACGTGTTATATTAGTGCAAAAACAACCGTTTGAAAAATGTGATTTGACCATTGAGTTGAGATGAACGTTCCTATATTTATTCCATTGAATGCGTCACGATTTTATTTAAATTTGTACCTATCTCCCGGACAGTAAAATAAAGTGAAATTTGTTTAATTAATGTATATCTACCCCAGTTCCATATCTGATTTGCTTCTAGCGTTGACAATTGTTCGTTGCTAGTAGCAAATCTATTTTTAGAAAAACTTCTTAATACAGTTCGACCCGAAATTAAATTTTATCTAACTCAAATGCAGAATTATTTTGATATTGTTTTTATTGCACTGTGAACTGTTTGTGCATCTGACTCATAATATGTTGATCAGCCCTAATCTCTAATCTCCCGGCGTCAACTTGCTTAAAATAATAAAAATATTGACTGCTGGTTTGAGGTAAATAAGATTATTTAATGAATAAATACCAGTTCCAGTTGGATATGCAATTAAGGATGTAGCGACATGCCTGATAATTAGATAGACTGGCATAGCGAGATTAATCTAGATGTGCTTTATTAATAAACCAATATTTACTAAGCTGTCGCCGACATTAAATATGTATTTCTATTTTTAAAATGGTTTGTTACTATCTGGAACCTAATATTTGGCTTTATTCGTCTGTTTATTTTTAACGAAAAATTATAAATTAACTTTTACCCACATTTGTAATGTCGTTGAATTTATCCTTTTAATAGGTATAACTATTAACTAATATAACTATTAAAAATATATTTGTGGCAGATTTCCTCCATTATTTCTCTTAAATAAAATTTTACACATTATATAAGTGTTTAAATATAGTTTCTCTCTTGTGCTAACTTCTGTTTGTTTATTTTAAATGATTTAATATACAGGAACTACATTTTTAGTCCAAAATAATATACCAAATTTATATGGATTAAGCTTTGAGGGTTTTGGTTAAAAGTTAATTATTTTATTGTATATTCTTCATTTATTTTTAAGTTAAATTTCAAAAGATGTGATAAATATATAAGGAGGTACTATTTTTAATGTTATCTAATCTTTGTTAAGTCGGGTGAAGTTTTGAAATATTGGCACAATGATAAAACGGAATTTTGTATTTTTACGTATACCTACCTATAGTATTTTATTAGACAAATAACAAATAGAATAGTCATAGTTGTTTATGGAGAGATAATCTAGTCTTGGTCTTAAGGTCTTAAGACCTGACCATAAAAGTTCCTGTCTTCCTAACTTCTTATAACTGTTTTACATTGACAATTTATTGATCAATTAATTTATGAAGTCGTTTCATCAAGAAATTGGACAAGTGTAATGCACCAAATCAGGTGAAGTTCGGAAGTACCAACCCAACAGATTTCCAGCCTCAGATCAGTAATGAGGTTATGTTATTGGAATATGTAAATAATCGTGTTGGCTTTATGTTGGATTGACATTTGTGCGATACTTTTACTCCTTACAAGTAAAACCTGATCTTAGAATGATATACTACAATTTTCGCCCGGCGGCCATATTTGTGAAGTCATAACGTAACTAAGTTACCGATTTTTACACAGTATCATCCCAAACATTGATCCTGGCTTTGTTCTAGATCAAAATTTTATTGATACTTTTACTCCTTAAAAATGAAACCATACTTTAGAATGGTAAAGTACGATTTTTGCCCGGCAGCCATCCTTGTGAGGTCGCAACACCACTGAGCTATCGAATTTTACAAAGTATCATCCCAAACATTCATTCTGCCTTGATGATGAATTTAAATTGGTAGGTTTTCGAAATATCTGAAAATAACCGAAATTAAATATTATCTAACTCAAATGCAGAATTATTTTGATATTGTTTTTATTGGACCTTTTGAACTGTTTGTGTATCTGACTCATAATATTTTGATCAGCCCTAACCTCTCTGACGCCCTGGCGTCAACTTGCTTCAAATAATAAAGATATTGACTGCTGGTTTGAGGTAAACAAGATCACAGATTGGAAAACTGTTTTTGTTTCGTTTATTTTTTTTAAATACGACCCTGGAAATTTTTATTACAATTTTTGCAAGCCTTCATGACCTCTAATACTGTACTGCCTCAGCCCGAACCAGATTCTGACGTTTTGTCTAGAAAAATTCAATTTCAAATGTATTTGTTTCAAATTTATCTAAATTTTTTATTTAGATTTCTGTTTATTGAATTATCGTACACTCTAATTGTAAGTGTCGTTAGACCCTGTAAAATCCACCTAGTTACTTAAATCCCGTGCTCATATTTATTTCTAGGTTTCTTGAGTGCTCAAAATTCAAACAATTTACGATCTAATTTTTTTCAGGATACTCATACAAATACATCTGACATGCTCTTTCACAGTTGCGATTACAGGTATAATAAATTCTGATCATATTACCCTTATCTTAATTTTCAACATTTGCCAAAACGTTGGAAACGTTTTTGAATATTTACTGTGATTTTTTAAAGTATAATATTCATTTGGAGTTCTGGTTGTTTATATGCATTTTTAAGAATTAATTCGTCATAATGAAATTAAAATTGTATTAATGTTTTAATTTTGATGCAACAACTTATATCGAGTTATGTATGACTAGGTGATGCAGATTAAAACTCTAATAATGTTTTATTGTAACGTGTAATGGGAATAGTTTAAGTAACTAGGTGGGTCTCACAGGGTCTAACGACACTTAGAGTGTACGATAATTTAATAAACAGAAATCTAAATAAAAAATTTAGATAAAATTTGGAACGAATACATTGAAGATAAATTTTTTGAGACAAAACGTCTGAATCTGGTTCGGGCTGAGGCAGTACAGTATTGGGGGTCATGAAGGCTTGCAAAAAAATAAAATTTCCAGGGTCTCTTACCGTTTCCGATATCCCTGTAGCAAGAAGCGAATTTGTAACAGCCTGTATATCTTTGAGGAAAATTGTATTTGTGTCTTCCAGTGAAAGTGCAATTTCCAAAATTCAATAGCATTTTTCTAAAACGGTTATAGCGACATCGGGGGTTCCTATAGGATTCATTTTAAGACCTATTTTATTTGTATTTTTTGTTAGTGATAAGTATGTATATAAAAAATGCTCATTACTTTAAGGATGACCTAAAGTTATATTTCTCAGATAGGCATTTAGGCCTAACTGGTTAAAAAAAAATGGACATAAATGATAGAAGTAAATGATTTTTTTCCAGAGGGTGTGTTACCTTTCCCTCGAATTCTACATGGGTAGATCCCTCCAAAATACTATGATCAATTTAGGCATTCAAACATCAGTTGATGAAGCTCTCTATCAGCTAGGCTTAGACATAGAAGAACTGGAAGAACTTGAAGAAGACGCTGGTCTAGGAAATGGAGGACTGGGTCGCTTGGCAGCATGCTTTCTAGATTCTCTGGCTACACTAGGTACGCCATTTGAAGTTTAAACAAGTCCATAGATTGAGTTTTGTCACATTCATTTTGAAATTTCAGGAATACCTGGTTATGGCTATGGCATCAGATACGATTACGGCATCTTTACCCAAAAGATTGTCAACGGAGAACAGCAAGAAGAACCTGATGATTGGTTGCGATTCGGCAACCCTTGGGAAAAAGCAAGACCAGAGTATATGTTACCCGTTAACTTCTACGGTAACGTTATTGATACCCCACAAGGGAAAAAATGGGTTAATACTCAGGTTGTGTTCGCTTTACCCTATGACAACCCCATTCCGGGTTATCAGAACAACGTAGTTAACACCTTGAGGTTGTGGTCCGCTAAGTCACCAGTCGACTTCAATTTAAAATTCTGTATGTACGATAGTTAAACAATCGTAGGTGGGTGGACATAAAAATATACTTTCTTTCCAGTTAACGATGGTGATTATATCCAAGCGGTACTAGATCGTAACTTGGCGGAAAACATCTCCAGAGTCCTCTATCCCAACGACAACTTATTCGAGGGCAAAGAACTCCGGTTGAAGCAAGAATACTTCATGTGTGCGGCAACCCTACAGGACATCATAAGGAGGTTCAAATCTGCCAAGTTTGGTGTCCGAGAACCTACCAGAACTAATTTTGAACTATTACCCACCAAAGTTGCCATCCAATTGAATGACACTCATCCATCCTTGGCCATTCCTGAGCTCATGAGGGTCCTGGTGGACATTGAAGGTGAGTTTTTGATGAATCCTCTTGTTCAGGTTTAACGATTCTCCATTCTTCAAGGCATACCCTGGGAGAAGGCTTGGAAGATCACGGTCAACACCTGCGCCTACACCAACCACACGGTCTTACCGGAGGCTCTAGAAAGATGGCCTACGTCCATGTTGGAGCACATCTTACCGAGGCATTTGCAGATCATCTACCACATCAACTTCCTGCATTTGAAAGAGGTCGAAAAGAAGTGGCCCGGGGACTGGGACAAGATGAGGCGTATGTCTCTCATCGAGGAGGACGGCGAGAAGAGGGTTAACATGGCCAGTCTCTCGATAGTCGGATCGCACGCCGTTAATGGTGTGGCGAAGATTCATTCGGACATTATTAAGGCTGATCTGTAAGTTTCTTTTTTCTGGTGAATTAACTGATCGTAATTATTTTTTTTTATTTTTCTTCAGATTTAAGGACTTTTACGAACTAAGCCCGGAGAAATTCCAGAACAAGACGAACGGAATAACCCCACGCAGGTGGCTCTTACTGTGCAATCCAGGCCTGAGCGATCTGATCTGCGACAAAATCGGCGAGGACTGGATCGTCCACCTCGACCAACTCCAGAAAATAAAGCAGTGGGCCAAAGACCCCAACTTCCAGCGTTCCATCATGAAAGTCAAGCAAGAGAACAAGCTGAAGCTGGCCCAGCTCCTGGAGAAGGACTACGGCGTCAAGGTCAATCCCGCCTCGATGTTCGACATTCACGTGAAACGCATCCACGAGTACAAACGGCAGCTACTCAACACCATGCACATCATAACTCTCTACAACAGAATTAAGAAGAACCCGTCGGCTAAAATCACCCCCAGGACCGTCATGATCGGCGGCAAGGCCGCCCCGGGATACCACACGGCTAAGAAAATCATAAAACTCATCAACATGGTGGGCAACGTCGTCAACAACGATCCGATCGTTGGCGAGAAACTGAAAGTTATCTACCTCGAGAACTACCGGGTGACCTTGGCCGAGAAAATCATCCCGGCCGCTGATTTGAGCGAGCAGATTTCTACGGCCGGAACCGAGGCGTCCGGTACTGGAAATATGAAGTTCCAACTTAACGGGGCTCTGACGATCGGCACCCTGGACGGGGCGAACGTCGAAATGGCCGAAGAGATGGGTTTGGATAATATTTTCATCTTCGGTATGACCGTGGAGGAAGTCGAAGAGCTGAAGAAGAAGGGCTACAACGCTTACGACTACTACAATTCCAACCCTGAGTTGAAACAGGTGGTGGACCAGATTCAGAACGGGTTCTTCAGCCCGGGAAATCCGGACGAGTTTAAGGATCTGGCCGATATTTTGCTGAAGTACGACAGGTTCTTCTTGTTGGCCGACTACGAGGCTTACATCAAGAAGCAGGACGAAGTCAGTGCTGTGTATCAAGTAAGTGAAAAAAAAATAGTCGGTAATAATGTAGGCATTTGAAATATTAATTTTTAATAATCTCTTTCCAAAAGCGTAATCAAAACCTGAACGACGTCAGTTTATGTACAATTAGTATTAAATTTTACGAAATCTATAACTTTTTAAAAAATATCGTGAAGTTTCAGAAATATTTGAAACGTACGAAAGTTCCATAAATTTCTTAAGAGGGCTCTACAGTAAATAGGCAATCAGCAATACATTTTTATAGATTTTATAACAGTTTGTCTAAATATGAATTAATGCACACTTTCAATACACAATAGCAGACTTTCCTCCATTCTAACGCAGATTTTCTATAAAATGGACTTCGTTTGAAACTCAAATTACTTTTTTTTGTGTAGAAATTTGTAATTTGCCGTTTTTGAACAAGCGGCATCATAAATTACAAATTTCTAAAAACAAGTTATAATTCTAGTATTTATTTCTAAAATATGTTTATTTTTTTTATTTACACATTACTAAACTAATGCAAAAAATTAGTCAAAAATCAAAAAAATTCCGAAATTTTTCCTTGATTTTTGACACTGTATTTAGGTGAAAAATGGTCATATCGGGAATTAAAAAAATGCATTTTGAAACTTTAAGATTCTAGTTTTTAGATCGTTTGTTCGAAATTTTTTAGGAGCTATGGAGAAGAAATAGCGCGACAAAAAGATTTTGCAATTTTTTATTTTTTGAGTTTACGGACTTAGAAAAAATTTGTTTCAACTAAGCCAGTGCATGAATCAGACAGCTTGTTTATTCAGTCGAAATATTGGACTTTTAATGAAAAAGGATCCTTTTGTCTTCAATCATCGATATATCAGAGATAAATGGTCGTACGGAGAATTGAAGAGCAGTTTCAAAAACTGGAATAAATTTCCTATATGTTGCTGCAACTTTTCGGAAAAAAATTTTTTTTTCGACACGAATTTTAAAAAACAGGAAAAAATGGTCATTTATGGTTTTTTAGAAAATTGACGGCTAAATTAGAAATATTCATGAAATGACTGATGTTAAGAATGACTGTTACAGTTTGATACACCCAGAAGAACCCTGTGAAGTTTAATCTTAATCTAGCGAACCGTTTCTTTGTTTCAGTCAAACTTTTTAAAAAAATTAAGTTTTTTGAAACACTTCATAATCATAATAATTAAAATGGAAAATAGCTATTTATGATATACGTGTTAAAAGTAAGATTTTATTTTGTGAGTGAAGATGATTAAAAAACGAGCGTAGCGAGGTTTTTAACTTCACGAACAAAATAAAATCACTTTTAACATGTATATCATACACTATTTTTTCTACAAAACTGTTAAAAGTAACTTACTTTTAACACGCGTGTCAAAAAATGACATTTTTAACATCAAAAATGACAATTAAAAAGCCCACTTTTAAGTTTTGTAGAAAAAAAATTTTTTTAGGTTTTCTCACATTTTTACTTCAAATAGGTATATAAAAATTGACGAAAAAAGAAAAAANATATGTTTATTTTTTTTATTTACACTTTACTAAACTAATGCAAAAAATTAGTCAAAAATCAAAAAAAAATCCGAAATTTTTCCTTGATTTTTGACAGACTGTATTTAGGTGAAAAATGGTCATATCGGGAATTAAAAAAATGCATTTTGAAACTTTAAGATTCTAGTTTTTAGATCTTTTGTTCGAAATTTTTTAGGAGCTATGGAGAAGAAATAGCACGACAAAAAGATTTTGCAATTTTTTATTTTTTGAGTTTACGGACTTAGAAAAAATTTGTTTCAACTAAGCCAGTGCATGAACCAGACAGCTTGTTTATTCAGCCTCAATTTCATTTTTTTTAAGACCATTTTTCATCGAAATATTGGACTTTTAATGAAAAAGGATCCTTTTGTCTTCAATCATCGATATATCAGAGATAAATGGTCGTACGGAAGAGCAGTTTCAAAAACTGGAATAAATTTCCTATAACATGTTGCTGCAACTTTTCAGAAAAACATTTTTTTTTCAACTTTTACACGAATTTTAAAAAACAGGAAAAAATGGTAATTTATGGTTATTTAGAAAATTGACGGCTAAATTAGAAATATTCATGAAATGACTGATGTTAAGAATGACTGTTACAGTTTGATATACCCAGAAGAACCCTGTGAAGTTTAACACGTATATCATACACTATTTTTTCTACAAAACTGTTAAAAGTAACTTACTTTTAACACGCGTGTCAAAAAATGACATTTTTAACATCAAAAATGACAATTAAAAAGCCCACTTTTGTTTTGTAGAAAAAAAATTTTTTTAGGTTTTCTCACATTTTTACTTCATATATATAAAAATTGACGAAAAAAGAAAAACAATTTTTCAAAAATTTTCAAGTTGTTTTTTTATTTAAAAACTTCCTATATAAAATTGATGAAAAAAGAAATTTGTTTCAAAAATTTTCGAATTTTTTTTTTTAAACTTCCAATTGAAAAATTCGAAAATTTTCAAAATTTTTTTTTGTTTTTTTTAAGCTTCCTATATAAAATTGATGAAAAAAGAAATTTGTTTCAAAAATTTTTTTTTAATTTTTAATTCTTACTATATAAAATTGATGGAAAAAAATTTGTTTCAAAAAATTTTCGAAGTTTTTTGTTTTTTTTTTTTAAATTTCCGGACATTGAATTCAACTTTATATTAAAATTAAAGTTGATGACCCAAACAAGATTTCGATCCCGATTCATACCATTTTTTTAGACAAATTTCTAATTAATTTTTATGCAGTCTGTAATCACTTAAAAAACATTTTTTTTTCGAAACTACCCTTTTTTGTATGAAAAAAATTTAGAAAAAAGATTATTTTTTTTTCATCAATTTAAACGTTACTTGCCGTTAAAATCGGAGGAAACCTCAAAAAAATTTTTTTTCTCTTTTAATCATGATTATGAAGTGCTCAAAAAAAACTCAAAAAGCTCAAAAAACATGACCCTTTAACTTTTGTCAAAGAAAAATGTTTTTTCGAATAGTTGTGGCAGCATGTTAGATTTATTCCAGTTTTCAAAACTGCCCTTCAATTCTCTGTACGACCATTTGTCACCGAGATATCGATGATTGAAGACAAACAGATCCTTTTCCATTAAAAGTCCGATATTTCCATGAAAAATGGTCGTATCGAAATTTTAAAAATAAGAAACTGAAGCTGAATAAACAAGCTATCTGGTCCATGCAATGGCTTAGCTGAAAAAAATTTTTCCAAGTTCGTGGACAAAAAAAAATTTACAAAATTTTTTTTTGTCGTGCTATTTCTTAGAATACCATGCTCCTGAAAAATTTCAACCAAAAGAACTAAAAACTAGAATCTCAGAGCTTTTTAATTCACGAAACAACCATTTTTCACCTAAATACAGTCTGTCCAAAATCACGGAAAAATTTTGGAAATTCCTTTGACCCTTTAATTTTTTGCATTAATTTAATGTCTTTTTATTGTTAACATTGAAGAATTCGAATAGGGCCACCAATACAACATATTTATTACTTCCAGAATCAGAGCAAATGGTTGGAAATGGCCATCAACAACATCGGCTCTGCCGGAAAATTCTCCAGCGACCGCGCCATCATCGAATACGGGAAAGACATCTGGGACGTAAAGCCCAACTACGAAAGGCTTCCCGACCCTTCCGTTCCCAGGGAATTGGCCCTGAAAGATAATTAACTCTGTCGCCGCGACGCAACTTTTGTGAAGTTGCGTAAAACGTAACTGCTCGCAGTTACTTTCCATTCGAGAGCACACACTGCGGGCACTAGAGTATTTGCATGTCGTGGATAGTGAAATTTTATTGTTGATGATTATCCGACACGGGTCGGTATATTTTGCCAGTGTACGTCACCGATTAGGCTGTAGCGCATCGTGCCATATGTTGAAATTTATCGGATCGAAACTGTTAATGTTTCACGATTTTATTATAAATGTCGCGCAAAATATACTCCTTGTGTCGTTAGGTTTTAATCTTGTTGAAAATATTTTAAAAAATTATGGAATACTCATCTGTGTGTCGTAATAAATAATAATAAATATACTTTTTATACAGTTTAGTTCTATGTTTGCCTGCCAGATTTTTTATGCTCCACACTGTTCTAGTATACATAAACTTGTGTAGAAGCTGTCGGATTTAAATAAACTGTATTTTTTTGACGTGTTTTCTTCTATATTATTCTTTACTACAAATAAATGAATGAGTTTGTCCATAGCCGAGCTCTCGTTCTCGGGCGAAGCTCTGTGGGGGCGGACCTGCTATCAGAACCCCTAGGTCCACTCGGACACTCATTTCAGTAAGAACTGACTAAATAACAGATTGTTAGGCCTAGGACCAATTTATTTCATACGGTAAGTCCTTGTTGTTTTTGGTTTAAAATTACTAACAGAATTACCACTTAAAGTTTGTCGACGTACTTATTTAACACCCTGTAGAGATTTAGTAAGGGATCTCCAGAGTATACCACCAGTATAATTGGAAATAAAAAATTATATGAATAATTTAAAATTGTTCTCTCCAAAATACACGATGACGACTAGAGTATGACAGATCTGTGCGTCAAGTTGTGGAGATTGCATTGTAGATCTTGATTAGTTTCTTTCGTATGTTCATGTCCCGTTTGAGTTGTCTGTCAAATTAATAAATTTATTAATTATTTTCCTGACGAGCGGTAATAAAATGTCGTGCTTGTGAAACGATTTTGTTGGTCTGGGATCCTTATGACTGTAAAATACACAATGAAAGTCAAATGCGAGAAAGAAATCGACTCGACTATTACAGTTGCTATACTGGGTATTTTTATTACCTACGATGTAATTTTCATTTGTTTAAGGGTGCCATATTCTTTAGTGTTTTCCACAAAGACTAATAACTGAATAATCTAAAGCTTATCAAATAATAGGAATGATATGTCATGGCATCTGGGTATTTTCAAAGACGCCGCAGTAAATCGAATAACGGGTGCAAAAAAATGATCAAACCATCAAGGTTTTAGGTACTGAAATCTACGAAAATACTTACATTTTTATATACAACCACATGTAAATATTCTTATAACATTTACTTGCTTAGTCCTACATATATAATTGTTTAATTTTATTTACAAGTACGGGAAAATAATTCTTAAAATGTGGGGTTAGGATAACAGCAAACGCATGTTTTACAAATGCTTTTTTTATATAGTTATTATTTTACTTGAGTAAATTTAAATAGTAACAATGAATAAACAGAACATCAAGGATTTTATTTTTGTGCTTACTTTTGTTCTACACGTTTTACTTTTCAAGATTTCAGTACCTAAAAACGTCAGAAATTTGACTATTTTTCGGCCAGGAAACAAACAGCAAAAACCTTTTACAATGCAGGCCAATTGAACAAGTCAAAAAACGACCACAATTTTATATAAAAAGACAAAACACGAAAACAAACATATACTAAGTTGCCGACTTTGGAAATGAAAGTATCAAGATCAAGTATGTCAAATGGCTTTGCGGAGATATAAATCTTGTATATTTTGCAATGTAGTGTTGCCAGATACATCCACCAAATCGAGACAAACAAGGCTATTACGATTAAAAATTGCAATTGGTAATTACTGGTTTATAAATTACAAAAGTTGTTTTTGGAAAATATCGCCAGACCCATAATGTTGGATGTTTTAAAATTACATTTTTAAGCATATTTGCAAAGGAAAAATCATCTAATTTGTGACAAGCTGCTCAATTTGGCAACGATGGTCCTCCCATTTCTATCAATAAGAATAAGACACCGTAGCGGCCTCTAGCGGTGGACACGGAATCATTGGATTTATAGAATCCTTCCTAACAAATGGATACAAAAACCGCCGACAGCCAAGCATTTTCTCTTCGATTTTAAAAGCTACGCTATCAGATAAGTAAAGTGAGGGTTTACCTTTATTTATTAGTCTGAGGGGTTCAATTACCCACAAATTTTTACGTCTGAACTTGTTTCTTTTTTGACATGCTTATCTTAACGAGGTTGATGGTGCTGCCCTCTGCTCACGGACGGCTTGACTTCCCTGAAATTGTGGGCAATGTCAACAACTAGACAAACTTTCTTGTCATATCTAATGTTAACTCCCATCAGTACATCAACAGATATTTTTAGTGATTCCTTAAATTTGCTTAGTGACATACACGTAAAATAAAATTTATTGTTTTACATTAAAAAAAATTAAGTACTTCATTTCATTCAACTATCGACAAGATAGAGTATGTGTCGTGATTTCAGAAAACTTTAGCTGCAGCCGCCAAAATTAAAAAAAATCTCGAAACTGTTGACCTGAAGATTTTTCGCAAAAAAGTAGCCGACATACTCTAGTCCGACATCGAAACACACAACTTTTAAGTACCCCCTAAACAGAGCTCCAAACACATAAAGCGGTTCAAATTATTGCCGATTTTAACACCCTCTTTACCGGAAACGGTACTTAAACGAGAACTGAACACGTGCGTAGGCGTTATAATAGAAACGAGCCGAAATTTATTGGATTTCAGCGACCACGCATCCCACAAACAGCATTTCAACGGTATACGTACAATGCCTACACAGGAGTCGGGAGATGTACTCAAGTGTAAGGCTACTACTGTAGGACAAGGACGTCGACGTATACAGAAAAAGAAGGTAGCCTTATACGAATTCAATCTTATTATGTCTTAAAACCTATAATTTTATTTATTAACATGTATGTATAACACTCCAGACAACATTTCGGATCGCCTTGACAAATTGTGAACAGTGCACTTACGCCGAAAAATTTATTGTTAGGATCAATTATAAGAGTAAAAATATTCCTACTAAACAAATATATTTAAGTATTTCTCGCCATAATAATTTAGATATTAGCAGGTACATCATAATTAAAGCTAGAGGATTTGAATAACTTGCCAGAGACGGACTGGAAAGTTTATTATGAAGTAATCGAGGTAATTTTAATTTGTGACAGTGTCACAGGCCAGTCAGTGACAACCAAGCCTTTAGATTTCCTATACTGTGTAAAATAGGGTCGACATAGGAAACGTAAATAAACACAGCACTAAAACTGCATCGTTATTGATTGTGGATATAAAATTGCTACATATTTTTCAGCCGGTTGACTAATCCATGAGCATTTACCGGCTATTTTAAGTAAAAAGGAAAAATTTAAGGTATGGACATATGTATTTATGTGTGAATATAACCTACAAAGTATACGTCATGTCATATCCAGAGGGATTATAGGTACAATAGGAGGAAACGAACTCTAATAAATTTTAATAAATATGTCAACGATAGATAGCGGGGCACAAAGATTGAAGGTCTTCAATAGATTTCAGATGCATATTTCTCTATCTTCTTTTGGCTACAAAACAGTCCTTTTATTAAACAATCAATAACAAGGAATGTGCCAAAAGTAGTACACTTACACTGATTTTATGTATTCATAAATTCGAATAAACATATAATAATTTCTGTATTTTAAATTTGTAGATTGTTGATCGTAAATATTATAGTTTTATATCGTACCAACTAATTTAAATTTTGTCGTCTTTGCAGCTGTATATTTATTATTAACTAGTAAGTATACTAATAAATTTGCAGTTTGTAGAAGACAATAATGTATACTATATATAATGTTTACAATAATGTAAAAAAACAAATAATTTTTGCAAACATTACTTCTAAACAATTCAAATTGACCGCCCGATTGATTTCAGGATGTTAACAAGAGATGGCGAAAGTTGGTCCGTCGGTAATACAAGGTACTTGGCGATCTATATGGGTATGACTTCATTTCAAGGTTGGTTTTGGTAGGTAGTCTTAAATTTGACCCATAAATTGGCCTATTTCAATGAATATGTAGAAATTTTCCAAAATATAACGAACTGTTACAATTTCTTGACCAATATATTCCTTGAACAATCTGTTGGGTCAAAAATTTACAAACGTAAAATACGGCGCTGTAAATTATCGTCATAACATGACAACCACAAACCACGATACTATGTTGACATAAACACGAGCTAATTTAAACATGTGAACATCCGTTACGAGCAATAAATGTCAAAAAGATAGAATTTCCTAACATCTCAATCAATACTGAAGGGTTGCTTACCACGGTCGAAACAATTACAAGGTCGATTATAGATCATACTCGTCTACATTTTTTTTCAACGGAGATTTGGGTAAAACCGCGGACTTCTCTTAAAGCGGATCTATTCCTTGAAATTGTGGTAGAAAAATTATTAACAACGGGTTGAGAATCCGTGTAATGGTTCACTGGTAATTCGATTTAGTATAGTCACCTTTAGAGTAAATAATTCGTCTCAACTACGTGTCCAGGCTTGATAAAATAAATCATTGCTTTCTTATACAGGACGTTTCGAAAATATGGTGTCGAACTTGCTTTTAAGCATATACTTTCTGATACCCAATTCAAGCTAAACGCCCAAAAAAATTTTCGCCTTTTCAAAATGATGCACAGCCTCAAATAAAGCATTTAGATTCTTGAAAAATTGAATGTTTGAATTTGAATTTGGATAAAATAGATATTTTTTAATTTTTTTAAACATTTTTTCAATTTTGAAAATGTTCCGGACCTCGCCCAGATCTAGGTATCTACACTCTTATTATGTGAGTTGTACTGAAGGTAATTTAGAAAAAAATTGTTTGCACCCTCTCACATCCATCTCAAAACAGATCCGCCCTAGTAACGAACGAGTGTTATTTTCTACACCGATGAAACTGAGTAAATAACAAATTATAATCAAAGTTCAAACAAAAATTCGTGGGCAATGCATATTTGATTATAATTTATCTACAGTTCGCTTGTAACAACAATTACCCGACAACAAAAATAACTCTTTAATTAGTGTTTGCGCTCAACAATTCTAGGATAAACCGACAAAAAGGCAGCTGTAATTGACGCTGATACTGATAACACGCCAGAGAGACGGTTCATAAAACACTCGAATACCGTCGTCGTCCTCACTTTTTGCCTTTAAATTATGGATCCTTGTAAAGAAATAAATTCCAATTCCGAGCCTCCCTTAATATCCACCCCGGGGTGAGGGTAAGGGAAAGGAGGGCTCTTGGGAAATTTTTTGTTATTTGTATCTGTTATTGCTCGTAAACGATTTCGACTGGCTCTTTTTCAGTTTACAGTTTGCTGGATAACGTAAGCATTCCCAACAAAAAAGCCATTGCGATTTTATGTCCGTGTACGCGTTGATCAAATCAGAAATCGATGCCAACGTTTTTCTTTATATACAGAATGTTTTAAAGGCGCGTGAATTAGTCCATGGGGATTTTCCTAATCCAATAATAAAGCGGATGGTTCAATAAATAATAAACAATAAAAAAATCTCATAAACAAGGTTAAGAAAATGAAGAAACTGCATCATTTCTTCTCGTCATTTCCAGAATATTTGTTTTTGTTTTGTTAACTGATTAATTAATTAAAATGCATTGATGATAACAGTCACAAACATACATTTTTTACTCGTTATATGGAAAATCCCCAACTGATCTGGAAAAAGCGCATTTGATAAGCTTGTTATTTGTGGATTAATCCGAATTTATACAAACAGCGTAGCAAAATCTATAAAAATATAGAATATAATTTACACGATCGATAGCCGCACGGTTTAAGGCGTCAGTACTTAAATCGATGTGTCGATCTGCCTGAGTTTCGAATCCCGCGGCCGGTAGACCGTAGATTAGCTATGCTTGTACGGAGGATTGGCACCCTCTGTAGGATGGAAGAATGTTGGCTTGGGTCAATGTGAGAGATTGACACCGGTTGGCATTTGACCCCCCCCCCAATCAATGAGGTTTTCCAGGTTTCCCTCATCCTGCACTGAATGGTGGTTAGGGCCTACCACCAACATAAGTCGTTCCTGGGCGCAAATGCGGCCTGCCTAATAATAATATGCCGCCTCCTTTCCCGCACAAGTCTCGGACTTCGGGGCTCACTCTCGTAGTTAGAATGAGGAGTAGAGATATTATTATTATAATAAAATCAACATAATTAACACAAAACAATATTAAATTTGTTATTTATTTATCCTATGCACCTATTTCTGATTGAGTTTGGAGTTTTAATTCTCCCAATTAATCCAAATCCAGGTGGTGGCGGAAATTCAAGGGGTAAGGCCAGTGACTGACAGACAGGCAGACACCGTAGGCAGGTCTAAAGGCGAGAAATATAAAATCCTTGACATTTACGATTTCTGAATACGGATATCCGGTTTTTTTTTTTCATTAGCAAGTAAACTAATTTTTCCTGGACATTCCGCTATGATTAATTTTTTAATTAGGAATTGTTGAAAGCCTTACTAAATATTTAAAATTCAATCGATACCTGGAGTAGCTCCGTTTACGACATTTTAATGTATTAATAAGCACCTAAAAATGCAGATTTTAGAGATAATTAATTCAATGAGTAACGTTTTTGTGGAATAGGTCAACATTGTTTTTCTACAGACGATCTAATATACGTGTCCTTTATACCTGACATCTTCCCCTGTTGAAATGTAATCAATTTAATTGCGAACAATGAAAAATTCGTACCGATTATTCCCAAATATCCGGAAAATTATGCCGAACAATAAAAAATTTCAGAGCAGCTGACATTAATCTTCGATGCATTCGAATTGTGGGATTAGTAGGGGCGATGAACCAAAAATGTTAAAATGAAATATCAATACAAAATACTATTTTTCCGTACTTATTTTTTGACATACATATGTATTGCTAAAAGAGATTCTAGAAATGATTACAAGCCACGTAACCATCAAGGTTAGGCAACCAATATTGCACGATTGGTACTGTCAAGTAAAAATCCTTAAATCTAGCGTCATCAGTCGTTTCGATTCGTCTACAATGAACAAAATGTTGTGCTTACGCTGTTAGTCCAGTTACTGTAGCTGAAAATATAGTAATACCTCCGAATTATTTATAACTGCATAGATTTTTCTCAAAATTTAGAATTAGGCTCATCTTACCCCCCACTTCAAAACTTATAGGCGCGCTAGGTGTGCTTTTTGTTCTTAGGGGGCGAAAACCACCCCTTATTGGAAAAAAAAAGAAAAAATACAAATTTAAGCATTTTATGTAATCAAATCTTTTTTATTTATGCTGGTATGAGTAATTTCATGTGCTATGTACATGAAACTTAATGTATCCCAAATTTTCAACCCGGAAAAATTTAAAAAAACCACCCCTTTGGATGAAAACAATATAAAAAAAATTTTTCAACTTGAAACGTTTTAATCATGCATTTTTATCAAATTAAAATTGATTTCTTGATTAAAAAATCTTTTTTATCGATTGCAATTTTACAACCCTTGAAAAATACCCCTTCTTTCGAAAATAAAATGAAAAAATATTATTTAAATAAATATTTATTCCCTTCTTATAAAATAATTTTGAATTGATTGCAACTTTTCAACCTTTAAAAATTACCGCTTACATTCATTTATATATTTATATATGTTTTCCTAAAATTATCACCTATACACGTGTTTATTTTTTTGACGATTGAGTTGATCTTTTTTCAGCCCTTCATTTTTAAGTTTGAAGGGTTTAAAGGGCTCGAAAAGGGTGGTTCTCTTATTCATATGATAACTTAAAATGGCGATATCTCGATTAATATTAATTTTAGAGGAATAAAAATAAAGCAAAATCTTCAGCAATAATAAAGCTAATTTTTTTACTCTTGTATTTTTTTCGTACACCCTTTAATTTTTAAGTTACAGCGTAAAAATCGATTTTTTTTCAAAATTTGAAAAATTAACATTTTTTAAAATTAAGTTTTTTTTCGTCTTTGTAAGGCAGCCAAAGACCCAGAACATATTCTTAGAACATAAATGAAGAAATCTGTAAATGGATTGCATTTAATTTTAATTCTGTCGCCAAAGGCACTCATTTGTTTGTTAATTTTTTCTTAAAAAAAAATGGGACTATCATGTTATTTCGATCATATTTCCGTTAATTTTGATTCTAAAGACGTTTAAAACAGCTCATTTTAAAGGTTTTTCAAGGTACTTTAAAAAAGGTTCAAATAGTTTTTTCCTAATATTTATGGTTTTGGCGTTATTTAACGTTAACTGGTTCCAATTTAGTTTTTAACCAACATATAATAATGTTTAAAAATCCATAACTCGGTTTATATTGCAATTAGAGAAAAACAAAATAATGCCATTAGATTTGTTATTTTATTACCTTTCTTTTTGTTTATTACAACTTCTTCGTTAAACCCAATGGTTTCAGAGTTATTTGCAAAAAACTGTCCGAAAACAAGCACTTTCTCAGTAAAAAATCAACATTTTCAATGACGAATTACTCGGAAAGTATTGAATTATCCAAAAAACTTTATATAACATTTGTTACTTAAAATTGCCTCCTCTATCGATTCCTGTGGTTATTTTGGGCGTAAAAATTTCCAGCCCCAAGAAGGGGTGACTTCGGCACTATATAAGTTTTGTTCCTTGAAGCATTCCCCACATTCAGTCAAAATTTCACACCAACCGGTTCAGTCATACTGCTTTACGGTGACAATCATGAAATTAAATTCCCAAGACTGACCCTTCTCGATGAATTTATCGACACCCAACACCAACGAAAGCGAATCTGGCGAAATACTTTGAAAACCAGCTTTTCCATCACATCGCCCGTGCTGTATCGGCAATTTCACAGCCGACGGGAGCATTGATTTAAAATACCGGTCAAGTTGCAATGCGAACGACAGTCGGCGCTCCAACACGGGGGTTTCCCTTCAGGCCGCCCTATATATATAAAAAATCACTATCTCCATAAGCCAAGGTATTAAAACAAGAATTTCCACCGCGAAGGATCAGTAACTCAAGAACGAGCGCGCTGCCAAGATGCTTGACCTGAAAATTTTACGGCTATCCTCGATAGTTTTAATCAGTTTGAGTAGCTGTTTATGTGCCTCTGCGCCTCCAAACGTCCAAGTGCTAAGCCCTAGCGAATTCGACGTGATCCTAGCGCCAGACGAGAAAGGGACCCTACTGGACGTTCGTGTAAATATAAACAAACGGTTCGGTTCTGGAGGACCGGAGTACCAGAAGAAGAATGTCGCTGGTCGAGTTATACGCTTCTCTGAAAGAAGTTTGAATTTGAAAAGGGGAGATGTGATTTATTATTCCATGACCTTTGATGATGGTGATCAGGGGTTGCATGGAGAGGATGGAAACTACATTTTCGATGGAGGTTTGTTGAGATATCTGTTTGAAATCAGTTGCTATAATTTTTTGTTTGTTTATTTATTGGTAGATGCACGACTCAAAGCAGAAAAAAAAGTACACAGTATTAAGTAAACTAACTTAATTCGGTGACAGTGAAATAGTTTGAAATGTAAACTAATTATTATCTAATAAAATATTTGCTGTATAACAGTTACTATTTAACTTTTTCGTGCTCATGTAAATCTAAATTCGGTTATTCTTCAGTGCGAGTGAATTCAATTTGTCTTGTGATATCTTCAGGACATTTCATCAAAAAAATAGGGATATCTTTTTGTACTTATTTCCAAAAATAAGTAAATAGTGCAGGAAAGTTAGACATAAAAAGATGGAATAAGCGAGCTTTTTATTCTGAGATTTTTAAATAGAAAAGTTTATAGGTTTTGTGATCAGAAAACATATATCACACACGCAGTCACCAGCAACATTCAGCGTTTTGAAATATACAGGTAAAAATTCTATAGGAAAGACTTAAAAGTCACTAAAGAATACGAGGTTTCATTTTTGGTCACCATTTGTATGATTTTTCGCGTTTTTTTTGACCAAAAACTGACAATATCCCAATGAAGATGCATTTTTTCAAAAAAAAAGTTTCAAATAATGTTGTTTTCTTACGTAAAACTGCTTCATCGCCGTCACAAAAAAAATTTCAAAGAAAATAGATTTTTCTGGAAAATAAAAAAAGCTCATAATTATTTCATAATACACACTCGCAAACCTATAAAAATATATTTGATGCTTACAAATATTCAAACCCCGGACAACTATTTAAGATTTTCCAAAAATTTTCCGCAATTTTCTTTTCTCTAATTCAGGTTTATTATTTAAAAATGAATTGGCCATTCTTTTGGCTGCAAAACATTAATTTTTACACAATCTGTAACTCATTTAAAAAATATATGGGAAAACGAAATTTTCGTAGGAGCGATTTTGTAGGAAAAATTTTGAACTTATTGAAATATTTGAAACTTTTTTCGAATAATGCATTTTCAGTGAGATATTGGCAGTTTTTTGTCGAAAACACAAAAAATCATATACATATAAGTATCTATATCTCAAAACGCTGTATGTTGGAGGTGTGAAACATTTCTGAACTCAAAACATACACTTTTCTATAAAAAAATTTCAGAGTAAAAAAGTTCGCTCATTTTTACCTTATTTTCCTGAACTATTAATGATATTTTTCTTTAAAGAGGGATGGCAGATATTTGAAATATTTTAGATCAGTTAGATGACATCTACCTATAAACACAATAAACCTGAATTTTTCCAAAAAGATTCAGTGTATCTCAATTAGGAGTACCATTTTTTCTGATATACTAGATAGAGATCATTTTTTTTAATTAGCAGTTTATTACTAGAAATTAATTATTTGAACGAGGTAAAAATGAAAAACTTGAAATTGAAATAGTGATCGTCACCCCTTACAACTACATTTTGAAGATATAAAAAAATTTGCCTTTTTCCAAGTTACAGTAACATAAATCAAAATATCGTTATTCTATGTTCATACACCGCTTAATAAAAATATATTTTCGACCAGTTGCTCGTGGCCCCAAACAGATTTTGTAATAAGCAGCCTGTGCGCTTTCTGTGAAGGGTACCAGGAATTTCTATCAAGACCTGGTATTTACGCAGATAAAAAATAAAAAGTTAACGGTGAGGAACACTTGGGAACTGTAACAGCACCATGAAACCATTAAATTCGCTTTAATTATTCAATTAAATGAACTTGCTGAATTAATAATTCACCAGTATCTAAGCAGAATTCAGAACAATGGCAAAATAGTTACAATAAAGTAATTGTTGTTCGAATTTTGGAGAAATGATAATTTAAATTTGAAATAAAAGTTGCAACATTATTGATCATTTCAATTTGTTTAAATTGTACTTCGTTGACACAGCGTGTGATACCTTTGATTACAATTTAGGGCTGTTCGAGTTGTTTAGAGGGGAAACTTTGCAACTCCTAACCGAAATCTTGATCTGCAGGTGTTAGGATCGTGTTTAGTTTCAAGTTTAGGGGGTCTTGTGGGATCTGTTTTACGTTGTGCCAAAAACTTGTTCATTAGCTTACCCTAATCGAAATCGTTTTTAACACAATAGATATCCTTGCGTTTTCCATAAGTTTCTGCTTCTTCATTTATCTTTGAAAACATAATTAAAGCTTAACGATATAAGTTTCTACACCTATATTTGCAAAAGCAAAACTGGTTCTTCAAGATTGTTCATTATGGCCAACGTTTATTATATAAATATTTAATTTGGATTCCCAATTTCCCAAGTAGGTACTAATGAAACAACGTTATTTTAAGTCGGAACATGTTTTTTATGTTATTTCCAGATTGTCAATATTCAGATGGTATCGATGACCGCTGACCCAAGTTGATACTGAGAAATCTAAACAAGAAAGCATTTCTGGCGAAATGTTAAAGAAAGCAACAACAGCTAATTCGTTTCCTTCGAAGAATAATTAGTAATAGTCCAGGCGATAGAGCATTCGAGGCGTATTTGAAGTCGTCTATTTTGTTGTACAGAAAAATCCCAAATATTATGTAGAATAAGAATTCGAGTTTGCCTATTCCAAAAAACCATTGCTAAATTCAGGGTAACAACAAACATACAAAAAGAACGAAAAATGACCCGTTTTTCGACATATTTTTCCCTGTAACATTGTAAGAAAGCCCTAACTCAAAAAAAGTCATCCTATATCTTTGTTTATTTAACGATTTTCTATAAAGTTACAACAACTGTGAATCAAGAAAGTTGAATTTTGCATTAACAGTGGGCGAAAAATAGTAGAAAATCATATTTGGAGCAATTTTTAAAATAAGTAAACATTTATAAATATTGATGAAACTTTGTGAATAGTAAAACATGTCAATTCTACCCTAAAAATTTTGCAACGATCGATAGCGTGGTTTTCGGTTGACAGGATTGTTAATTAAGAAAATTTCAAAAAGTTTATCGCGTATCGTGGGTTTAAATTAAGGTTTAGAAAGGGCACATAATTTTTTAGAGACACTTGTTATCATAATAAACAATTATCAATACTAAAAATACTTATTTTTACACTTTTATAACCATTTGGAATTTTATTTAATTTTTCAACATTTTACTCTACAAACAATTATTTATTGCCCAGGAAATTTTCTATGCAATCGACCAAATCTTGCACACATAAAAACTACGTCGTAGCCCCTTCCTTTTTAGCCAAATACGATAGCATTCTACTATGTACAACAAAAAACAAAATAGATGACTTCAAATACAAACGCCAAAGCCTACTTGTACTGCTCTAACGCCTGGACTATAACCGTTACCTACTTATTTTTCCTCTGCCGAATTATTAATACCTTGTGTAACAAGACCAATCGGTCAATGTCTTACCATTTAACAATCAGGTACTTCTACAACCGCTTCGTCTGTTAGGCGGTTTGTGGCTAATTTAACATGTCAATTGCCAAGATGATGTATTTTGCTGCTTTGGTATTCTTTGACTTAAGCTTTAGTTACTGAACAGTTGTGGAATATACAGGGTATTTTGAAAAGTTTTACCATGAATCCAGAGACTGATAGAACAAAAAATAATACAGAAAATCTTAAATTACAATAAGTAATCATGAAAGCTAACCTTAAAAAATTATATTCTAAAATGCCGTTTTGACAAAGAAATACCAGAATTTTGTTAAATATCTCTAAAAAAACATTTGATCCATGGCTCAAAACATTTCTTAATATAAAACAGAGATAAAAGTAACCATTTTTTTCATTTTACAGTATATAAACGTCGAGACAGGCGCAGGAGAGAAGTGTACGAACCAAGCTCAGAAGAAAGTTCCGAAAACGTAAACCAAGACACTGACCCTAAGCAGGGCCGCTTCCTCCGACACGGGCCCCCTCGCGGTCATTTCGGACACCATCCACCTCCCCACCACCACTTTGGCCCCCGTCAATTCTTCCCCCCACCATTCGGAGTCCCGCACCACCCCCCTCCATACCCCGGACATGGTAAGTCAACGTTTCCCATTTTTTTCCATCTTGGTTCAAAATTTTGGTATCTAGATCCTTGGAAGGACCACGGCTACGGCCACAAGGACAAATTTGGGAATAATGGCCCTTGGGACCACGATGAAGACGATTGCGACTCGTTCGGGCATAAACCCAAGTATCCCGGAGGCGAGCAACGTCCTGACGACAGAAAACCTTGGCGAAAACCTGGAGAGAGTCCTTTTCCCGACAGTAACGATGACAATAGCGGTTCTGGTAAGCCTTCTGGCGAGAAACCAAGTAAAGGGGCAGGTTCAGGAACAACGACTGAAAATACTAATGTAGAAGTTTTCACAACCAGTCAAACAAGTACTACATCTAGAACAACAACAGTGCCAGATATCGACATCAGATTTCGAATGCCGGAAGACAGCTAGTGAACATTTATGATAAGACATATTTTTGTAGTTATTTATTGCTATTAAATATTAAATATATTTATATATTTATTTTTATACCATTCTATGGGATGTTCCTTGAACAAAAAGAATGAGAGGTCAAATGAACAGGTGGACTACTTCAAGATGTTCTGTTAACAGTGTTTTATTTTTCGAAATCAGTGAAAAATATATTTAAATTTGTACGCATTTTTGGCCATTGATGACTCGTATTCATGAAGGGTGACAAAAGCCACGAAATTTTTTTAAAAATCATCGTGTAGGTATTGTTGTTACCAAAAATAACACAAAGGAACACTCTGTAGACGTTCGACAGTCAAATCAAGGAATAATTCGAGCGTTCGCCGCTGTGATTTCATTTCACTTATTTCTCAACATTTCGTTGAAGGTCAGGAGGTAATTATGGCATGTTAATATTTCCCATTGTCAACCAATAATTGAGTAGTTCGCGGGAATTATAGATTTCAATGGTAATAATTGCGTAAAAATGATTTTTCCCTAAATTAGTCGAGATCATATCGCCCACTTCCTACACGCTGCGTTCTGGTCTAGTACACCTCATCAGTCATAGTAAATTCCGCTTGAAAGCGAAAACTACTACCGAATTGGTAAGGCGAGGCGTGTTTGGCTGGTGACGGACCGAAAAGTAGCGTTTACAAACCGCAAAGTAAACACGACAGGTGCGAGCTGTTTATCATAAAAAATCATTCGAAATGTAACGACAGTAACTTCAGATTAAAAGCTTTCTTGTCAATTGGTCTACACACACTCAACTGGCTACCTAGATGGATCGTTTGGACAAAAAAATGAAATTTCGCAGTTTGTTACGAACAATTTTATTTAATTTTGCATATTTTCTAACGCTAAACAGTTGTTATTTATGTTAAGGATCTTATCAACGATAATCGTGAATAATCAAGAATTATTACGCAAAACTTAAGCCGACCGTGCGTCGTCCCACATAATCAACTGTTTACAATGCAGTAGCTAGGTCAAGTTCAGTGTGGTTATTTGCACGGCGCGGACGTAGAAGTCTCGCTTGCTCTAGTCGTTGATTTCAACGTTTTATTTCAAAATTCTTTATGTACGGCGTGCGAATATGATTTAAACATAATTTGTCGTTTGTATGCGAACCATTACACCCAAATACAAGCACATTTTGATGCACTATCCCATAGCAGTGTTCTTTATTAATCATCTTAATGGTGTCAAGGACATTTAAATCTTCTCAAAAAGCAGCTAAAGCCTGGAGAAGAGAAAAAAACGTTCACACCGCACCCTTTGACATTCATATTTCGGCTCGCCCGAGAGAGATCTCAGCCGACAGATGAGTGGATATCGATTTTATGACGCGGGAGAGAATAAAGGAAAAAACTGTGTAATCGATAATACTTACGCTTTAGTATTCCGACTAAATAACAGAAATGAAAGACCGGCCCCTGTTCCGGGCCGTATCCCGTTGAAAAGAGAATTCACACGGTATTCACTGCGGTTCGGTTTAAATGATCCTTAATGGCTTAAGTCTCCCAAGGAATTTATGATCGAATTTTTAATATAGAACGAGGAGGTCAACTGCAGAATATGAGGAACATCCCGGGTTGGTCGGAGTACCGCACCAGCCGCTTAAATCGTTCCAGGGGACCAGGGGCGTAGACGGTGAAAAAGTTAAGGTGGCCATGATGAAAAAAATTAGGTTTATCAGGTCTATTAGCGGCACGCATGTGAGCAAAGACTAAAGGAATACATTATTTTTGCTCAAAACTGCAAAGGTTTTGTGTTCGCCATCTCGCTTATTCTGCGACTTAAAAAAAATATATTGCTCTGATTGTGTTATATAAAATATAATTCAATGCTTATAATAGTATTTTAATAGTCCCATACAGTAGGTATTTATTTTGATGATTAATCTCTTAGAGGCACCAGCTGTTGGTGATTGATTGTTTTTCAATCTAACATAAGAGTTTTTTTCTAATCTCGAGATAGTTTAATGTTCCGCGTGAGTGGGTAAAACCAACACTTTTAGCAATTTGTCCGAAAAAAGTGTTCAATTTAAGTAATCAGTTCCTTTTTACAAATGATATACCGTACGGGCCTAAAGTATAGAATAAATTCAGTAAAAACAAAACAAATTTTTTTTGGGAAAAATCCTCGAACAGGTCGATTTTTAATTTAAAATATGCATAGTCTAGCATAAAAGGCGATTTTCAACCGTCATTTGTTTTCGAGTAATGACGTCATCGACATTTTTTTTAAATAGCAACCCCCTATTTTTTTTTTTGATTCTGAAAGATCGTTTCATTGTCGATCCGACAGTTTTAAAATATTGCCATCTCAGATAGGTAAGTTTTCGAGTAAATGACGATTGAATGTTAGAAAACGTAAATTTTATTCATTAAAAAAATAACAATTACTATGTCAAGCAAATACAATTCATTAAGTTTTCAACCTAAATTAAGTGTTCGAATTGCCAACCACCGACTTCTTGACAATACGCAAATCTGTGTAGAAATTCTTCTTGCACATTATGAATTATTTCTGGGGTAACTCTGTGTATTTCATCTAGATAATACAATTTTGGAGCTCTTCTAAATTATGTGATCTATTAACGTACAATTTGGACTTTAAGTAGCCCCATAAGAAATAGTCCAGGGGTGTAAGATCTAGGGATCTCGCGGGCCATTCTATCGGTCCTCGTCTGCCGATCCACCTCCTAGGAAAACAATTGTCCAGAAAATCTCGAACAGGGCGCGCATAGTGCGGAGGTGCACCGTCTTGCTGAAACCATATGGTGTCATCAGGAATATCAGGGTCATTATCGTTAGGAAAAATTACTGCAAGCGCTGGAACAAGGTCATTTTGTAAAAACTCTAAATATCTTTCTCCTGTAAGGGTTCCTTCAAAGAAGAAAGGCCCTACTATTCTGTTGTCAACTATTCCAGCCCACACATTTAATTTCTGTGGGTGTTGGGTATGTGTCTCTGCCATCCAATGAGGATTTTCCCGACTCCAATACCTGCAAGTTTGACGGTTCACTGTACCATTGAGACAAAACGTGGCCTCGTCTGAAAAAAGTATTTGCCGGTGTAAATCTCTATTTACTTGACATAAATCCATCATAATTTCACAAAAGTGTAAGCGGCGGTCGGGATCGTCTTCATTGAGTTCCTGCACAAGTTGAATTTTGTAGGGATGATATTTTTCCTGCCTCAGGATACGTAGCACTGTGGTCTGACTAATTTCATTGTTTAATGCAACCAATCGTGAAGTATTATGAGGATTATCTACCATACTTATCAAAATGTTCTGTTTGTGATCTTCACTAACGCTTGGACGTCCAGGTTTTGGAATATCTACAACATTGCCAGTTTCTCTAAATTTAGATTCTATCTTACTGACTGTTGATTGGCTGATACGGCGATCTGGATGTTTTTCATTAAATAAATCGCAAACTTCCTGCTGCGTTCTAGTCTTATCCCCGCATCCGATAAGAATTAAAATTTCAATTCTTTGTGTGACAGTTAAATGTGCCATAATACTTTAAATTCAACAATAATTTTTATATCGCTTACAATACTTAGAAAGTCGGTATGACAGTGACACTTTGTAAAGATTTACACCTACGTGATCCATAAAAAACTTCAGGCATTTCGAAAAACTAAATTTGATAACGTTTTTGCTTTATTTTAATTGATTTGGGTTTTCTAACATTCAATCGTCATTTACTCGAAAACTTTCCTATGCAACATTTTAATACTGTCGGATCGACAATGAAACCATCTTTCAGAATAAAAAAAATAGGGGGTTGCTATTTAAAAAAAATGTCAATGACGTCATTACTCGAAAACAAATGACGGTTGAAAATCGCCTTTTATGCTAAAAATATATATTTTTTTTTAATTAAAAATCGACCTGTTCGAGGATTTTTCCCAAAAAAAAATTTGTTTCGTGTTTACTGAATTTATTCCATACCTTAGGCGCGTACGGTATATGTGTTAAAAACATTACCAAACATTAATTTGCACAAAGCGTACACATTATATCACCTAATTGTTAATGTAACAGGTTGAACTTGAATAGCAATTTTTTTTAGTTCTGACGCATTCTATTTTATTTATAATTTCAGATATAAGCGTAAAAAGTGTATTGAGATATTTATTGAAGAACTAAAAATATTACTTTAACCAAAAATACGTTATTGAAATGATGTGTTAGTTTATAGGTATTTCCCTTGATTTATAACAAAAAAAATGAAGTATAGCGGAAAGACCAAATTAGGGTCTGATTAATACCATAATATTAATTAACGACTGTGGTTATGGTATAGAGAAAACCAGAGGAAATTTATATGTATTAATTTAATTCTACAGATTTGTGTGATATTAAGGTCAACTTAGTCATAAAAATTTAAGACGACCACTGTTTTCGAGTGTATTTTTATTTCTGTTGTGTAACAAAACAGCTGCCTGTATTTCAATGAGGATATTTATTTCAAGTTTTACTAAAAATTTAGTACTGTATTGTTATAAACTTAAAGAAAGGCTAATAATTTTGTCCAGTGATAAACTTCAATGATAACAGCACAAAATTCCACAAGGTTCTACACTAGACCCACTCCTTGTTAGTGCTGCCATTAATGCTATTGTCTCTCATACCTACTGGTTAAAGAGTGTGTCATTATTTTATCTGCATTTCATAACACAAGGATTGACATTGTTATGTCGATGTGGCCTTTATAATAACAGGGATATTAGTATTTGACGTTAAGGAGACTTTTAAGGCAAGTTCTGGAATTATTATTCATTTTATTATTCATTCGTACTAAAGTCCCAAAAAAATAAAGTCTAACGTCGACTAAATCTTGAAAATTATTTATTTTCTAGGATACTGCTCAAAATAAATACTTAATTTATAAAACTATTTTCGTATATACATTGTTTATTACGATCCTTTCGGGTTATATCCCGAAAAAAACAGATAGGAATTTGTTTGAATTTTGAGCACTCGAGAAGCCCAGAAATAACTATGCACACGGGAATAAAACTC